TGGCTAGTTGAATTTGATCCATACCAAAATACTTGGTCAGACAGGTAGCACAGAGAAGATTTATTCTGATGTGTCAGTATAGGACACTTAATCACTGCAAAATGTAATTAAGAAAAGGCTAAGGATTAGAAAAGATGCCTTTTATGCCTGGGCTATGGGGTATTTGATTCTGAAATAGTCCCACTGTAGCTACCCTGGCATTACTCAGGTCTAGCTATATGGATTAGACGTCTCAGACAGTTCAGCTTGTCTATTATGTAAATTTATGAATTTCCTTGTCCCTTCCATTTAAGAAGATTGAAAGTCTTGAAGAGTTAAAATAAGTGGATCAGAATGATTTTATTTGAAAACAGTAAGAATCAATAAGGTTTAAATGAAGAGCAGAATCATTGATTGACAGGAAAAATAGTAGGTAAAAATTAGAAAAATATATGATTATATTTATTGAACTTAACAATCTTTTGATGGGTCTGATTATTCTTATAATTTCTTTCTCCTTCTTCATTAGAATGAAATCTCCATGGAAAGTAGGACTTGGATAAGAAGATTAAAAGAGTGACCAGCATTTGTAAGCACTTAAAAGAATCATCATTGAATGAACAAGTGTAAACTCAGGCTCCAACATGAACAAGATTTGTTGGACCAGAGAAGAATAGGAGACAAAGTCAGATTTATTAGATACCTAAATATAAGGCACAAAATCCAAAATTCTTGATGTTACGATAGCTGATGGCACAGCATCAGTCAAGCAATTTTAGGAATCCACTCAAAGGAATGAGGTAACAAAATCATGTGGGAAATCCATACAAGACTGGGAGGTGGAACCACTATCCTTTCATTAAGCCAGCTTTTCACAGTGGTTCCTGAAGCTGCCTAATAGAGGTTGAGATAACATAGGCCTTAATAACTCCTGTTTGAAGACTGTTTGGAATGCTCTCTAAGATCCATCTTATCTTTAGCTCATGTTTCTTGAGAATAAAATAGAAAGGAGAGGTGCTTTGTATTTAAAAAATACCTCTTAACTACTTTCTTCACCAGAAGAGGAACCATTATTTTCTCCTGCAATGCAATTTTTAGAGCTAAGACTAATTTTAGAAACTTACATGATGACCTTTGTTGTGCCTCAACCTAAACAGTAATAGAAGTTGTTTTAGACTATTGTTTTACTGAAAAATTAGGGTTGATGAAGAATTATGGGATGTTTTTCCAGGATGGCTTTCTAAAATCTTGTTTTGTTATTTCAATTGGTGGTTGAAATCAGGGGGAATTAACCACTAGCTGCAACCCTGGTCCTTTTTCTTTGGGATTTTGAGAAAGAATCTTGCTTGCTAAGTTGCTGGGGGCTGACCTAGAATTTGTGATTCTCCTGCCTTAGCCTCCCAGGTTGCTGGGATGTGCCAAAGCATCTAGCTTGCTTTCTAAGTTCTTGCTTCTCATACCAGGTCAGCCTAGCATTGAGGCTGATATCAAATCAAGACATGCTATATATTATAGGCCTTTATTTTGAATTTATTACTTTTTCCTCAGATAATTTTAGACATGGGGAAATAGTTCTGTTTGCTTTCTACTTCTCACAGTTGTTTACTAGGTTCCATGGAAGGGATGGGACTGTATTTAGGACTTCCAAAACCTCCTTGAAGTCCAAAGGATAGATTAATAAGACAGCCCCTTATTCGGGCCTTATTTCTTGAGGTATTCACACTCCTTGCCCTTCATCTCTAGGCACAATGCCACTTGCTGTCTCCAGCTATTCAAATTTAATAAAGGGAAATAATTAAATTTAAAAGTACGAAATTAGAAGAGAACAAAATATTCTTTGTGTTTTAACGTGTTGGCTAAAAGAAACAAAATTCACACAGTACCTAATAATACACAGTACGCCTTCAATAAATGTTTGGAAAATTCAATGAACAGCTACATAAGGAAAAGCAGACAATTGGGAAATTTGGTTCTCTTGAACACCTTATTTTGTGTTTGTAAAATTCCTTAGTGGAGGTCGGTGAAGCCTTGACTGTTACGTCAAGCAATTCACAGAAAAGATACTGGTGGAAGGCAGGAGCTCACCAAGTTCTCTCTTCCCTGCATTTACTGCTCTCATTGGAGTTGCACTGATGCTCCCTGCTTCTGCTACCTGTTTCCTCTACACATCTGCCTTCTAATGGATATGCTATTGCTATAGGTACTGACACTCATTAAAAGAGTTATAAACGTGATTGTTAATGAGCATCCTTTGCATCTAATAACTAGATCATAATACTACCTTAATTCTGCTGGATACCTGTTCTGAGAGCATTTTGCCAATCTTCCTCAGCACCACTCAGCATCTCTTTTCTCCATCTCCTTTTCCTCTGCTCGGGACAATGCTGCTCTTAGCATAACTCTACGTTCTCTGTGTTTTAGGAAAGCATCCCACCATCTCCTTTAATTGCTTATTTACTTACAATCAAATTTGCTTTCCTTTCACATTGATAGTCAAAGTAAATAAGTAATTTAAAAACAATTTGTCTAATTGGTTTCATTTTTAAGAATCATATAGTATTGTTTTCTAGTCTTCAAATCTCTAGTATTACAAATCACATTAATTTGCTATAATTTTGTGGACTTATAAAATTGATTCTAGGTATGAAATATCATTTTTAACATTATTTCTTGTGTAGAATGTGTGTTGAGCCCCAAACATTTAATTTATAAATCACACTTTTGAAACACAACCCAATTGAAGATAGGACCCACCATTACTCGAAAGGTAAGCTTTAAAACTAACTGAAAATGACAATTTAAATTATTCTAATCTTTTCAGTGCAATTTTAATTTACAAAGTGAGGTAATGGGCAAACCTAAGACTTTGTCCATTTTCCCTTTCTAGATCCTGATCTCCATGGACTGTGCTATGTAGGAAGCAAGAATTAATTTTTATGGGTCAAATGTTCTTTGTAGTTTTCCTACTAGGACTAATGATGCTTTTTGCTCTTTTCCAGTGCCTGAGGTAATCACAACATCCTGTCTTTTCATGGTTCAGAAAACAGCTCGTTGTCCCCTAACTCTCATTTAAGTGTATACTTACTTCAGAGTTTGGCATATGAAATTGGCGAACAATGTCTTAACTTGTTTGCACTAAAAATAAAACTGTGAGAAAATTCTTTAAGAATAGATAATACAGAAATGTTCACTTATGAAAAAGAGGGAAACTGAGCCCCAAAGTTTCAGCTTCATTGTACCAATGAAGTATCTTTTGAAAGCAAGAAGTTGCTTCGATGGAATTTGTAACAAATGGATAGGTTGGAATTCCTAGAGAAAGATTTTTATTAGATATACAAAATGTTGAAGGAAAGACTTATTATTTTAGCAATGTTTATAAAACTAAATATTTAAATTTAAAAAATTATAAAAATTATAAAAATTATGAATTTAATGCTTTTTGCTCTTGTAGAACTCACTGATTATTTGGCAACATGGGGAAGCTTTTAAATTGGTAGATATCTGAATTCTTGAGTTCCTTAATTAACACTATATATTGGATTTTTTATTTCAAAATATTTAAAATGTAATCAAATACCAAAATGGAAACAAGCACTCTAAAATGTTTTGTACAGTCTCAGGAAAAGTAAATGCATAGTAAACTTTAAATCTAAATTTTATTTCATTTCAATGTTTTACTTTGATATCAATTACGTGTCTAGACTTGTTTTATGATATTTTCATATAAGCTGCTTTTCTTACTCTTTTAAATTAGTGAGCCTTACACTAGAGTGCATTGGAATCACCCGACAGTGTGTGTGTGTGTGTGTGTGTGTGTGTGTGTATATATATATTTGTATAAATATATACACACGTTTTACATATAGGCATTTTTTCAGTCCTACATTGTTTGTTTTAATAATGCCTGTATGGAAATCATGAAGTGTTGGAAACATGTTTCAACAATAGTAACTGGGATCTTATACTGTAGCATCTTACTGTAAGAGACAGAAGAAACATCTAGCATTGAAATAATCTATCCCCAAAAGTGAACAGCTTGTGATATAATTTGAGCTATGTGCATATTTATTTAATAAGTAGGTGAGTTTATAGGAATGCATAGTAGATTTATGCCTATAAACTTTTACTATTGATGACATATTGTAATGAACTTCTTCAGGGAGGAAAATAAAAAACATACTAAAATGTAAGTTGTGGTATAAAGTCTTCAAGACAGAGTTTCCCACTGTGGCATTTCTCTTATATACAGTCTGACTCATGGAAAAGGTAATTTTTAGACATCTAACACTTCAGGAACTTGGGACTCCAAATAAAAGTCAGTGAGATAATCACCTCCAGTTTACTTCATAGGATCGTGTTTATGCCTAGTAAAAGTATGTTAGAAATGGCTTAGATCAAAGGAATAATTTGATTGGTTAATGAAGAGTCAAAGAATGATAATTGAATTTGATGGAATTCATTAGTTAAGACATCCAAGCAGATACTTTACAACCCTGATTATGTGCTCTAACATCTGTAATAGTCATAATGTGATATATGCAATTCACTGTTGAATGAGACATATATGAAAGAATGAGATGTGCTATGGCACAAAAGAATATCAGTATGAGATAAAGTCTGCTCTCCCCTCCTGCCCCCTACCCAATACTCTTGCTAAAATATCATCTGTACAGCAGGCCACAGAAGCACAGAGGCAGATGCCACGGCATATTCTTTTAGAATGCAAGGCTGCTCAAGATCATCTACAGATAATGAACCATGACAACTTTGGATTTGATAAAGTGCAAAATGAGAATAGGAGAAAACAAAAAAATGTTATACCAGTGGCTAGTGCCCCACCAACTAAACCAGCCCTTCAAAAACATTGAGACAAGTTATAATTTCAGATTTTTCTTTGTAAAGCAATAAAGTTCTTCAATCTTCTGCATTAATGCTCCCCTGCCACCTATCACTTGATGTGGCTGGGACACAGGCTAGATCATCAACGAAACCTATTGAAAATGTCTGGGGTTTACAAATACCTTAATCAGACAGTTCCAGTGATGTTTACAGGAATGAACAGGCAGAAGAACAGTCTTCCAGTCTGAGTCCGGTGTTGGTTGTTCAAGCTCTTATTGGTTCTCGATCTCCTGTTTCCCCTTGAGGAAGAAAGAAGGATAGAAAGAATCCATGAAAATGCTGGCTTGCGATTCTGCACATGCCTTTACTATCGACTGGATATAGACTTCTGCTTATGCAATCCATTCATTATTCACACCCAGCACCAGCTTCCTCAATTCCTAGTTGTGCTGGGTGCTTCAGGCTAAGAACCAATAGGTATGAATCATGCTGACATTTAAAAAACTCTAGAAGAATAAACGTTTCAAAAAGGCAACTTTTTCATATCCCTTCTGACATCTCCCATGCAATGGGATTGGCCTACAGAGGTGAAATAGCATGTGCCGCCCCAGAGGCACCCAGTGGAATTACCCGCAGCAGGGAATTATCTCTAAGCAATTCACACTTTGTTTTGCTAACAAGACTCCATGTTAGGATACTGGAGAGCTATCCTTCCCTGGCAATGTTCCCCCACCTTTTTAGAATTATTGAAAAGCTAACCGAGTCTATTTTGATTTGTGAATCTCTTTGTAAGCAACAGCAGCTGCAGCAGGGCTAATAAAAAGGAAAGACATTGTTATTTACCTAGGAAAGATATTGAAATACTGCACATACAGAAGCATCTGAGTTGTACAGAGGTGCTCTACCAAATATTTTAATAATTCCCTTTCTTCCTTGCTTTCTTTATCCCTTCCTCTCTCCTTTCTTTTAAAAACTTACCTTTCCACCGTTCTTTCCTTTTGTTCTTTTATTCTATTCTCTTTAATGTATTCTTTATTGCATTTATTTATTCTTTGATTTAAAGCTAAAAAAGTTATTTTACCTCAGATTTCTATAAATTGACTTACTACCTCATATCTGAAGAATGAGGTATATCTTAAATCATTTAAAGAAATGATTTAAAAATATAAGTTCTCAAAATTTGACTCAGCAATGTATATAATTTTTCCAGAAATGTAAAAACACAGGTAAGGAGAATTCCACTGGATTCACCTGATTCTTGTACCAGTTAAAAACTAAGGCTTTGCATAGGGGACATTGTGTTGTATGCCCACCCTAAATATATAGAATATATCATTTATCAATCAAAATAAGTCAGTACATTTAAAAAATTGAATCAAGACTTTGCAGATTCTAGTGACTCTGCTACTAATCACACAATTCCACTCTCTTTATAGTTTGTTCTTCAATTCTCTGGAGGAAGCTAACATGGCAACACCCTGTTATTTGAGGATTCAAGTTTTCCTACTACAAGAGAGTGAACACAATCCCCTGCAGCTTTCATTATATTCTGCATAGAATTTCATAATGCCTCCAAAGTTATTAAGCAGTTCTATTTGCCAACAAATGGACCACGATCATTCTGGCATAATACTGCATAGAAAAATTCAAGGGTTTACTGGGCTTGGGAAAATCTTAGTCCTTGAGTTAAAGAATTAATGCTACATGAGAGAGTTTTATTCTCTGAGTGGTTTCTGAGATCCATTTTGCCTGTCTGAAATAGTCAAGGGTTTGTTGACTCCAGCTCAGACTGTTTCTAAGTAGATGATTAAAATCTGTGATTTATTCAGAGAGTATTCATTGTATGTCTATTTTTTTGGACCTGGGTTTTTGTAATGTTTTGAGCCAGGTCATAGGAATAAAAAAGGGAAAAAAAGATTCTTTCCTCTGAAAATGTTGGGGAGGCATATATAAAAATAAAGCAAAATATTATAAATTGGTAAGTGTCACAGTGGAGATTTAGGAGAAGCTAAGCACTGAAGAAAGATTCTTTCCATTGTCAAAAAGAATTCTAATCTGAAAGAAGTAAAATTGTCACATGTGGGTCCCCAAGAAAATATTGGGCATAAGGTAATCAATCAATTCCTGAAGTACTGAACCTGGAGATTTACAATTCACATAATTTACACAATTGTCCTTGTTTGCAGGTGTGCCCCTTTCCCACAGTGATCACAAGTATAGAGTGACTTTTCCCATCAGAAAACCTTTAAATTCTTTCTCTTATTGCTACAGGTTTTTTAAAATATATATATATATCCAATTTCTCAGAAAGGATAGCCACCAGAATCAGATTCTACATGTTAGAGAAAAATATATGAGTAAGCAACACGCAACCATTCTGGATGCCAAATAGCAAAGATTAAAAACCATCTGTCATTGGGACTAGGAGCCTACGAGCAAGCAGTAGACTTCAGCAGAGTCTGTGGCAGGAACAGTGTGTAACAGATTTAAAAACATGGATTAAATCTGAATCATCCACACAGTCATGTGGCTTGAAGAATATTATCAATTTCCACCAGAACCTGCTTTGCCCTGTGTTGTATAGAAACTACATGTTGAAACCGAAGAGACTTTTGATGAAAATGCATTCTTGAATTATCTCAGAAACCACCTTCTAACAGCCTAGTCTGTGCCAGGAATGGTACAAGGTACTGAAGAACACTGGTAGAGGAGAGAAACGGTAGCCTCCACCCCACACCCAACAGGAAGATTATTAGACCATCTTGAGTGAGATTTCCTACTTTAACAATTATTTGCACTAAATTAACATATGTAGCATACATTTGACTGGATTTGATATAAATTGTTTTCGTATTCCAAACACAGTCTAGAGAAATGTTCTGAAGATGGGCATTTTTCCAATTTTTTTTTTTTTTTTTTGCTCATGAAGCTCCTGATTTGGAGTGTGTGTTCATTTTTCCATAGTTTAATTTTTTAAAAGGTTATTCAGGGTATTACTTAAATATGGAAAATTAACTTTATAATCAATGTAGCTTAAATGATTCAGTGAAATTTGGCAAAGAAAATGTACTTGATTAGTCTATGATGCATTATCTCAGGTTTTGATCTTATGTATAAGAAAGCACAGAAATTATACCAGCAAATCTCCCAAGATGAATATTTGAAGAATAATTACATTTGAGTATTCTTTTTGTCACAATGTCCTGTAAGGTATTTACCTAAGAAGACTCGTTTGCAAAAAGTCAGGGAGAAAGTAGCCGAGTGGGGCTTTTCTACCTGTTCCATTCAATGCTATTCTTCCAGTTAAGGAAATAATTTAGGATTGAATATTTTCAAATGATAATGGACATGTAGCATGCAAAAAAATACTTTGGAAATTATCTATTTCTTGATTTCATTGCCTTTTTATGGAGACTATAACTTCAAATCTGCAGTGCCTGAAATATTATATAGAATTACTGTTTATGTATTTGTTCATTTTTACCAGATTCTCAGATTGACTCAATGATTTTCCTCCTTGAAAATAATGTTCAAAAATGGAAATTCACTTGCCAAATCCTCACATCTTGTTGGTAGCAAGCTAAAGTATCATTTGTATTATTTGATTATTAATCTAATGAGTAAAGAAATTCACTCTTTCATTATAGACTATATATTAACTCTGCTATTATGTGTAATTCAAGTTAAACCAACGTAGCACACTACTTTTCTCCAGAAATACAGTTAAAATAACCTAAAATGCTCAGAAAAATGGTTTTTCTTTATTATTAAAATTAGGATATTAGAATTTATAGTAAAAATTTTCAGAAAAAAACTTTTATTATATTTTTCAATATGAGATAAAAGACATGAAGAATTTTATATAATTTTTCTTGGTGAACTGATCTGAAAAAGACACTCTGAAAAGCTGATTTAATCCATGAAACAATGCATCTACTTTCATCTTTTTTTATTTCCAAAACCTTTTAATACAGACTATGCAGTGAATTTTAACAACCCATTTTTTTGTTCATCTGATTGCCTTTACTTCTCTGTTCCTTTGCAAGGACAAATGAATATTTTTTTTCCTTCTGTAAATTTATTTTAAAATTTGATTTTAAATTATTCAAAGGGGGTTTAGACTTTATTATATGATAAGTTAGGAAAGGAATATTGTCTAGAGATTTGATAGTAATCATGAGAGAGGCACATTGTTTGCATATGATCTATTGAACAATGGAGATTAGTATATTGTTAACTAGATAGCTGATGATGGCAGCAGTAGTAACACTTGATCACTGTGGGAATTTAAGTAAACTGTGATTCACAGTGCAGGTAATAAATTTGGAAAAAGCACACAGCATGGAAATTCTTTTTTGGCAAACGTGTGTGTGTGTGTGTGTGTGTGTGTGTGTGTGTGTGTATGCACATCTCAGGAGAATAAAATCTCAGTAATTAATTTCATGCCATTAAGTATAGGAGTCAGTTACAAACCTCATTTTAGCAATATTTTTGTTTTAAATAAATGCATTGCAGTTTTACACAATAGTGGGGTTTATTTTGATATATCCATACATTCATGGAATGTATTTTTCTCCACAACAATGCCTAGGGCTTCCCCTTTTCCTCTCCTTCTCCCTTCCCCTGCTCTCCTTCCTCTACTCTATTGGTCTTCCTTTTAGATATTTATTGGTTTTTTAATTGGTGGTTTATACATATACATAGAGGCAGAATTTGCCATGGTATATTCAAATAGGTACATAGCATAATTGGATCAATTTCACTCCACAGTTTCTCTGTTTTCCCATCCCTTGTCCTTCCTCCTCAATCCCTCTTCCCTACTCCACTGATCTCACTGTTATTTTCATGGAATTTCCCCCACTTTTTTTTTTTGGTTTCCTTATTTCTTGCTAACTTCTGCATATGAGAGAAAAGATTTGACATACTTTCTGAGACTGGCTTATTTCACTTCTCATGTTGTCCTTCAGTTCCATCCATTTATCAACAAATGTCATACTTTCATTTGTGTGAGTGTGTGTATCTGTGTGGCTGAGTAATTAATTCTCCATTGTTTACATGAACCACATTTTCTTTATCCATTCATCTGTTGATGGGTACCTGGGTTTGTTCCATAATTTGGCTATTATGAATTGTGCTGGAATAAATCAATGACAAGTCTCCGCAGAACTAAAAATATCAGTCATAAAATTCACATGAAAACTGAAAGACTCCCCACAAAACAAAGAAATACCTAGCAAAAAGAGTGATGCTGGAGGCATCATAGTACTTCATCTCAGATTATACTACAGAACTATAGTAA